GAATATTTCTGAGTGCGGCGTAAAACTAAACTCACTCACTCACTTGTAGTTGAAAAAGTGAAAAAATAAATGACACTGAAAATAACATTCATTGCTCAGCAATAGTGAGTGTAACAAATGATCTTAAACTCACAGCCACTGGTATTAATGAAAGGAAAGATGAAAGATGGTTGCCCTTCCCAACTTAAATAGTCTAAAAACCTTCAAGAATGTTCTACTCTTGATTAGTCTATGACTGTTCTAGAAGGTGTTACATTACACAGGACTCAAAATAGTAACTCGATCTCCACTTCTTATATTGGATAGAAATTCATTCCTGATAACTAATTACAAAGTACAATGTTATGAACTTGTACTGAACTGTACAGAAACAGCATTACAGCAATACATTACACTGCCATATAAGACACTATACTGTATAATCTGGCTAACTACGCGAACCGTTTTGAACCGTCGTCTTGTTTATGCATTTTGTCATCTAAAAACAAATTTGATGCAAACCAATTTTCTGCGACATCGGATCTCAACGAAGGCTTCTTCATAAGGAATTCATATGTAAGCCATCCTATATCTATATATCAGACTGAAATGTCACTTATATGAATATGATGAAATGTAGAACTATACGAAATTACAACAAAAGAAACATGATTGAGTCATGTCTGAAATATGAAGTGTTATGTTTTCAGTAAATCGATGCGTGATATGTTGTACAATCTGGAATAGAAACTCTGTCTGACATATGCACACAACACAGTTTCAACCTTTCCTCCGCAATGACTGACAGGCCTTCGTGAGCATGTGATATGCCGTCTTCAAGATGAACACCAAAGATACAGCAACTAGTATCACTGCGTTATCAGTGTAGATACAAGAGTTATACCAAAGCGAAGGTGACGCTGATCTGGTTGATCCTGGCAGTAATCATATGCCTGTCTCATTGTGTCCTCTCTCCCAAATGCTTAGGTCGATGGTCATGATGTTAATCACTGGATTGTCTGGCCCAGACTCGATTATTTACACCCCGTCCCCATATAGCTGTAATATTGCTGAGTGCGGCGTAAAACTAAACTCACTCGCTCACTGAGTCCTCACAAATCTTGCGTCACTTAGGCTTACAGAATCCTGTATCTGTGGGTTCGAATCTCAGAATCCCCACGAAATTTTGTTGAAACCGGAAATGAAACAACTCACTCATTGTCGATGTTTCATCTCATTTTCCAAGGACTATTTTGTTTTCATAGGGGTGAGTGAGTGAGTTGTTTTTTTACGCCGCACTCAGCGACATTCCAGCTGTATGGCGGCGATCGGTAAATAATCGAATCTGGACCAGACAATCCAGTGATCAACAGCATGAGTATCGATGTACTCAATTGGGATCAAGTCAGCGATCTTGACCACCCGATCCCGTTAGACGCCTCAGACGACAAGCATGGGTTACTGAAGATCAATTCTAACCCGGGCCTTCACGGGTGTGTATTCACAGGAATAGTGATTCTGTTATGACTGCAAAGTACTGTGCAATCATTCAGATCGCAGCAACTGGTAATGCTTAGACTCACAAATTAACGGATGATTTGAATAGTCATCTTAACATAATTTGTCATTTGTTAGTAAACAAAATGCTCCTCCGTGGGGACACCCAGTTGGAAGCATCTGTGCCCACCAGCCTATGTTTGTCGTGCCAGGCGCTTGAAGACACTCTGTGACTTGGTCGATTTCGTATCAGTGACCATTGGCATGGTTTGTCTGGTTCAGATACCCATGAAGATCTGGGTTAGACTTGGTCTTCAGTAACCCATGCTTGTCCTAAGAGGCGACTAACGGGATCGGGCGGTCAGACTCGCTGACTTGGCTGACACATGTCATCGTATCCCAGTTGCGTAGATCGATGCTCATGCGCAAATTGATCACTGGATTGTCTGGTCCAGACTTAACTATTTACAGACCGCCGCCATATAGCTGGGATACTGTTGAGTGTGGCGTAAACAAACTCACTCACTCTGGTTCGGACACGATCTCAATAGACAACAGTAAAAGTAAAATATCTGTGAGCGATGTAAACGAACAAAAGCATGAACAACTGTAATTAGCCTCAGCTAATATCTGTCCTTTACTGAGAAAGTGTAATCATAAATATAACATACCTTCCACTTGACCACTTTCTAACTTCCATTATGTATTCATACACATACTCACTACTAATGACTGACTCACTATGTCTTATTTCATTTGGTAACCGTAGGTAGAGTGAAGGCAAACCTTCTGGACCCTCACTGTAGTTTTACCTCAAGCTATTTTTCAATTTCGGGTTCAAATGAAAAGGTTACTGGCTGGTAACTTACATAAAGTGACCTGAAAGGCCATTTTGCCTAAATGAATGATACACTATTGTCAATTACAAATAATGTGTTGTACGAAAGAGTGTGATTTGAAGCAGTTACTGTGTATTGAGAATGACATTTCAACATGTTAGGAAAGTTTGCAGTCAGCCAATAGAATCTGCCTCAATCGTAAACTGATGCTGGTAAACTACTATATGTTCCGGAAAACACCGTTGGACCTAGACAGCAAGAGAATAATATGTTTCGTCGGCAGTTTCTTCTTATACAATCATTAACCCTTGAATCTAATGACCCTGAGAAACCACCAAACACACATATTCCTTGTCTAATAGCTATCTTGGGAGTTTGTTCGGAAATCAGTACCCGACGGAAATGACCAAGACGATCCGTTTGTGTCAAGAACACTATTTTGTACAAAATCGCATGTCCTAAACCAATCCTGCTACGGTTAAATCCATTCTGTAGTCTGGTAGGTACCAAATAGTAGGAAAAAAGCGACTGCGTATAATTATATCAATGACAAATCCGTCTTGACATTCTTAATTGAGATAACCGAGCAAAAACCGTGTGGCCATACAGTGGTTCCTGATGGGAGCCTTCAACCCAAATGGAAACAGTGCCTTAAGTATTGACCGGTTTTCCTGAATGTATTTGGACACTGAAAAGGGTAACTTGAAAGTTCTATTGATTGCAACCGAGAGGCGATCATATGACAGTGGACTCCCTGTGACTGGATGCCATCGATATCCCACGCTCATATCTGCCATCTTATAGCTTTACCTGGTAGGTAGATCTAGCGACTTGCGGAGGACCAGTAAGAAGACAGGACGCAAAGGTGAGGAAGGCTCCTTTCTCTTGAGACCCTTTTCTTATTTCCATGATTTGCACATGTCGATATTTTAGACACCAGCTTAAGGTAAGAACAAATTTCTTAATAGTAATAGGAAGAAGTGGTGCTCTAGGCTGTTTAAAATATGATACTTGTATTGGTAGCAGGTGCTCGTAGCTTATAAAGAATTCGTTTTACTTTGATATTGATCGTTTTTCTTGACAGCAGGTGCTCGTAGCTTACAGGGATATTGTATACCTTAGTGCCATTCATAATTCCTTTTGGCAAACGAAAAAGTTATGAACAGAAATATTATACAATCATATGTTTTGTATTTGGTTGCCAGCCAACCACTGATGACAAAACTGTCTATAATTTAACTGGCACAATGTATCTGTTTTTTCGTTTCTATCATGTTAAGGTTTTACCATTTTCCAATTCCAATCGCGCTTTGATCCGATGAGATTTAGGCATATCTTGTTTAGAAAATATTGCACTTGTATTTGTTCAGGAATGAATGAGTTGCAGATTTGTTTGGGACAGTGGTTTCTTGCTGGAACGGGTTTAGGATTCCAGCGATTTGATGTATTTACTATTTTAAACATTTGGGAAATTACACTAACCCTCTGGATGAATTCGGCCACAAGAAATTAAATGTATTGTACATTGATACTCAGAGTGGTGCGCATTTAATTCATGAAGAATAATTAACATACGCCATCATGATCACTGTTAAATAAACCGTATTCTGAAGTCACTGTGGCATTTGATAAACGATTCCTTAATTCTGCGCATTACCCCAAGTAGAACCTGTTTCGGCTAAAAAATCATCACTGATTATTCTGTGGCAAGGTTTGCCTTACGTCGAGTAAATTCCCAAAAGCTCTGCCCCCTGGGTTTTACATGTCACAATGTCTGAGTAACAGTCGGAAATGCTCTCCGCAGTAGATCAAACACAGTGTCATGAGACTCTTTCTGAAACTGTGTTTTAACGTGGTTACATCGTTCAAGGCTTCTTTAAGTGGTATTTAGATGTTGGTATGATAAAGAAAAACACTGGATAGACAACTTCTTAAATGCAATGGATGCGACGTTTCGGTGTCGATCCTATCAAGCAGATGTCAATCATTCAATCGTTATATGTATCACAACAAGCATCAGTGATGTCTTGACACTGTACATCAATCTCTTCAATTGTATAAACTCAAATACCTTTCATGTATATATTCTCCTTGTCCAAATATATTGTTGTGTATCTTTGTTTGATAACGATGTTAGGATCGAAGAAGTTGCCTATCCATAAAATGTGTTCCTCTTCATCATTCAAGTCAAAAAGATTTCCGAAGAACATTTTCAAATTGGAGCATGAACGACCTAAATTATGTGACGTTTACAGTTAATCAGTTGACTTGCCTTTGCATGTGTTTTGATGGGTGCTCCAGAAGGAAACGCTAACCTTTTTGTGGAAATAATGTATCATCACTATATATAAGTGATTTATATAGTATTACACATGTTTATGAAATAGTTGGAATCGTTTAGTGGAATCTGTTTGCAGTAAAGCTTTCTTTTGATATTGCAAATGGTTTTGTCAATACCATTCCCAGGTCCTTATTGCCAAATGACTGGGCACAGATCTGAACAGAAAAGACTTCAGGGAGAAAACGAGATTCATATATGTTTGCAGCGTTGATTGGTGTGCAAGAGCCCGATATGCGATTCAAACTATGTCATAAGAATATGTGTATGAATGGTTGTCAACGAGGGTGTTTAGCATAAAATAACATTATTTACAATATTTAATATTAAAACAAAGTAACATTAAATATCGACCAAATTTCTTTATTCTTGTTTTCACTACAAATAGTTATAGTTAATTCTGAAGGTACCATCAAATGACTTAGTGTGGTTACTTATCATCGAACAGGCATGTGTTGGAATGAATCGTATGGAATTTGAACTTTATGTATAGAATTAGATTCTGAGTTTCGATAAAGCAATGTAATGCATTCCGATAAGCATCATATATTAGATGCACGAAATATCGTTTTACTGAATATGGAAACACTGCTTTTTAAAGCGATTAAAATGAGCAGGATTTTCTCGGAAAAGATGAGACAATTTGATGACATCCAAACTCGATGGTATTTTCATTACATAAAGTCCATCGGTTATCTTGTGACTTTACATATTTTCTCTGAATGTACATAGTGACGTCACAAGTTGATATATCCGCATCACGTGACGTGTCATTTCCAAAGATCCATCAGTTCTTCGTCACTTATTAGTCCGTCTCCTGAAATGAAGACATGTCTCGAGATGAATAAAAAATGATAAAAAGCTTAAATACTCAACAATATTAGTAAGTTGACAGAGGAGTTATGTCACTTTGATTTGTGGTTTGGCAATGGAATAATTCTGGCGGAGGCATCGATAGAAGGCTTTCTTTGATAACAAATGCTTTTTGTGTTTTGTTGTTGGAAGTAGCTGTTTAAAAATCTCGCTGATTTCAAAATATTACTTATTACATATTTCTAATTACTTAGGTTCATGACAAGATATGCTCTGTAATTAGAAAGAGTTGGGCACTTTCTACCAACCTATTAGACCTTGTCATATTCGACGCGTTTGTACGTCCCACAAACTCCTTGGGGTCGATATCCCACTTGAGTAAAATGCGCGGAACCCATTTTGTGTATCCCCTTAGTGATATTGCTTTAATAGTGCTAATAACGGCGTAAATCTATATTCACGCACTTATAACCGGGTGATTCGGTGGTACCTTTTGCAAATGAAGCCCACCTGTTGTTTGATGAGGCTGTTGTAACGCCAATTTCTTTTTACTGTTATTTCTAACATCCACTAAGAGACAGAACGAGTATAATCCCCGCTTATAAATGCTTCATTTGCATCTAAACTTGTTTTCAAGACATAATGTTTTATGTTCATTTTCTCAGTAAAACATATTTTACATCTTAATAATCCTGAAATTGAGAATTCAAATTTCCGGTAAACAGTCGTGCTTCTTCAATGGGCACATGATGTCGCCATTTATCCTAAACGTCATTTGCAATAAATTTAAAAATACCTTGTGAAGTCTGTAATCATAACCGCAATAACAACACAGGCCCAGAAGCATAAATGGGATGGAACTTACAGATTACCTTTTCCGGTCAACCAACCAACCAACCAACCAACCAATCAATCAATACATATATCAATCAACCCGAGTGTTATTGAAACAGATATCAGCATTCACTCCCCCTCTATCCCCCAAATATTACAAAGAAATGTTATTGTACTCGAAGTTTACAGTTTTAAAAAAACATGTCCTTAAAGTAATTGCGGCATGAAATAGCCAAAAAGTGGAATGGATGCTATAGGGTATTGTTTTTATGTACCGTCTCTATCCACGAAGCGTTCCACTAGTGCTTTGGCCATAGCGGGGACGTGTGATATCAGATCTGCCACTTCATCCACGGTTACGTCAGACCTGTTAGAAAAAAAGAACAAAATGGTTTTTAACATAGACTTTTACTACGAGTTGAAACCAATTCCCCTCGAAAACCGTTCACTCAATGGACGCGAAAGGAGACGTTTGTTAATGCGGCAGTTTTCGCATTTTAGTATCAAAGGCCGCGGAAGTGACGCGAACATTACGCGCCCTGGTCGCGATCATTGTAACGCTTGCTTTATCAGTTGTGTAACTACATGCGCGACTACATACTTTTATTCCCCTGATACTGAGCTCCAGACAGGGTAATTTGGTATGATAGCCTGGAGATCGAACCTTCGGCGTTCCGCTGTTGCACAGACGGTCTGAGCTCTACACCACGGAGCCGGTGTTAGCGATAAAGATTAGTCAGCAACAGTGCCGTCCAACTTGTGTTATTCAAGGCTTCCGGAAATGTGGTTCCTTGCTAAATACGGGAATAATGTTTATGGTATTATTACGGAATTTGTATCGATCAAGGCCGATTTATTGAATACAAAATACATCACGGATTTATCTTTAGAAGATAATTTGCAATTTTATTTTTAAAGCGTTTAATATGTTATGTAAAAATACTTAAAAATATAAATACACATAAGGGATTGAAATCAGAGATGAATTGACAATTACCTGACATAAAATGAGTAATAAGAACGTATATAGGGTGTCAGGCACACGTTTGAAAGGTATTAGAGCAGTCTTTAAGTTGTTAGCGTACGGATGGTGTTCGCCACAATGTTAAACGGGCAATGGGAGACAGAAATGACCATTTTACTTCAGATCGTTATTCCAATGAACTATGAGCAGAAGGTTGTCAATTTAAAGATTTTCTTTACTTAAGAAGTCACTTCATTCGCGCACAAACTGATGCTGCTGAACTTCAACAAGCGCTTAAAATGTATTTACAGCTTTAACTTTAAATGCAGCTGGAGCGTTGCTTACATGGTTGAAGTTGCATTTCCTTACGTTTCCTATCGGGGAAGTCACATGTAAACGGTAAAGAATAGTTAGACTAAAATATCTGCCCAAACAGATTACATTGCACGAAAATGGTAAATAGTGACGAACACAATATGAACTGATCATTGAAAACACAAAGCCAGTGGTGATGCCAAGTGTTCGCGAAATGAGTAACATCTCCTATCCCTTATTACCGATAACTAGTTAAATTTGTAATAGTCTAGATGACTTTGAGTTAAAGATGCTTTCCTGTTTAGGTAGTAATTCATAGACCTGAATCCTTGACTACATGTAAATATATATATAGAACGTCAGTGCAAGAGAATTCACATTCTTGACCATCCTCAGAAACAGATTTCTGTGGAAAATAGCTATGAAAAGTATATGAATGGATCACTTAGAACTAGTGATGACACCTGGTTTTCGCGAAAACAACACACATATGTAAGTGTACATGTACTAGTATATACATCTGTCTGGTTACTCTTCAATGGCTTTCAGAGATAACATTAAGTGTTGCACTCTTTCTGAGTACAAGGTTGCTTCTGAAATAATCATGTTTACAATCGCAGTGTTAGGTGAAAAGTGGGTCAGTCAGGAAATGGATACCACCGGGTAGTGATTCTGGAGGAGATCAGGTCTGACTGTGTGTCATTGTACTGAGGGTCGGTGCTCACGCAGTCAGCCACTGTATTGCCAGGCCGAGACTCGATTAAATGCTGGCCACATTGACATGACTTAACTGAAGGCAAGAATTTATTAATTTCAACTACTCTATGTTGAGTTACACGACGTTTTGGAATATGTTGAATTTTGAAGATTCAGCTGATGGAGGAGTAAGATTATACTCCGAAACGGAATATTTCACCCGATGAAGGAGTAAGAATATACTCTGAAACGGAATGTTTCACCCGATGAAGGAGTAAGAATATACTCCGAAACGGAATGTTTCACCCGATGAAGGAGTAAGAATATACTCTGAAACGGAATGTTTCACCCGATGAAGGAGTAAGAATATACTCCGAAACGGAATGAAGGAGTAAGAATATACTCCGAAACGGAATGTTTAACCCGATGAATGTTTCACCTGATTAAAGTGTAAGAATAATGTTTCAATCCGAAACGGAGTGTTTCAAACTGATGAACCCGAGTAAGAATATACTCCGAAACTGAATGTTTAACCCGATGAAGGACTATACTCCGAAGAATATATACTCCGAAACTGAATGTTTCACCCGATTAAAACGGAATGTTTCACCCGATGTAAGAATATTCTCCGAAACTGAATGTTTCACCTGATGAAGGAGTAAGAATATACTCCAAAACGGAATGTTCCTCAAAATAAAGAAATTGACATCCATAAATTCTTGTCATTGTGAGCATGACTTCTAAATGCAGTTCAAAGACTTTATCACGGAACTATAAAACCATTGGCCAAAGAGGTACTCGCTCACACTCTAAATGTTAACTGTTAATCATATATAAGGACAACACACCGATCTGGTGGTGACAGCAGCGCATTGAGGGTGTGCATGTCGCGCTTCTTATAGGGCTGTCTTCCGGCAGCGTTGTCCCAGAATGCAGCACGTGTTTCCGTGGAGTCTGTCGTGGAGATTAGACACTGCGCCAAAGCAGCAACGGCGACCGTGTACGCCAACATTCGGTTCCACTCAGGCATTCTGGTAACTGCAACAATAATGCAAAGAGACAATGATAATAATACGTGTAAACGTTATGAACTCATTTTGATAAGTTCGTTCAGTCAGTGCTCGATGTCAATTGGTACAGTAAAGAAAATGAATTTTATGCATAGCCAGAGTCTTGTTTCTGCGGATGTTTCATCCATAGTTTCATGGATAGTTGTTCAAGCTTACACGGCCTGAAAAGCACATCCATTATCATCAAAGATCACCAGATTGATGAAAGGACTGGGTACACGTGATGTGAAAGCATTTTACTCAGCATTTTATGCCAGTTTTTAAACTGAGAAATAAATGTTGATCTGCTCAAACCATGCATCAGTATGGTTTTAATCGTGACGATATGCCCATTCCTCTTTTGTGTTAGGTTCCAAATCTCCATAACTATCTGTGCAGACCTTTGTCTGGATCCAGCAAATCCCCATCATGAAACTTAACCATAATCCTTTACACAATTAAAAAAATACATTCTTTTTCTTCACTGAACTCAACTTTTAGGTGAGTTATCAGTTTGCCTTTACATAAGTGACAGCTGGCACCGGTGGGGCAGGATGTGCTCACCTTTTCACAAACTCCTGATATCATCAGTATTCGCATGTGATTCATAAACGCATATAACAGAGCCATATATAACATAGGGACATACAAAGTACATCACGAATGCACCACTGCTAACCCATACTTTGCTGACAAGTACGTGGCATCCAGATTGTACGTTGAAAGCAAAATTTTATGGCAAGAATTTTGTACAATATGTACACAATCAATGGGAAATAATTGCTTAAATTTTGAAAAACGTATTGACGTAATGTCCTCCTCCTCCGCCTTTTCATCATCATCATCATCATCATCATCTACTGTGATGTAGTTATATATGACAGAAGCGGTGGTACCTAAATTAGCAATGTAGAATTGCGGGTGAATCTTTCCTAGTATAACACGTTCATATATTTTCCTTAACTCGATCAACGTAAACTATCTATTACATAAAACCTGGAAGAATCTACCCGAGTGTAACTGCAGATACAACTTGCATCAACCGCTTCAACACGGTCTAGATACTTCTACCATATGCACGACCAAGTATCTCCGTTAGGTCAACGTCGTTACGGAATTCAAGGTCCGCGTTATCAACAACACAAATGATGAACGAGTGACATGAAATTGGGCTTAACGTCGCGATTTATATTGCATCATTTGTATGGAGACATGGACGTATGTCGGTTTGTGATACATGTTCCAAGACGTTGTGAACGAGTCCCGTTTTATATTGTGTCATTTAGAGATAAGCACGTATGCCGGCTTGAGATACACTAAAAGTTCATTCCCCTTGAACGCGTTCAGAACGCGTGTAACACGCATGTGCCACGCATGTGCAACGGGTGTGCAGCGCGTTTGAGTTCCGTGTCACACGGGTGTGCAACGAGACACACACACGTGTACCATGCGTGTAACAAGGGACCAAGTTTCAGTTGAATTTGACGAAATGCGTTAGGGTTGCATAAATTGTACATGTTCCAAGATGCCGTGAAAGAGTGTCAGGAAATGGGGCTTGACGTCGCGTTTTATATTGTTCCATTTATATGGAGACATGCACGTGTGCCGGTTTGAGATACATGTTCCAAGATGCAATTTTTATATGAATACTGCACGCAGACACAGTGTTCTGACGAGCCTGTCTTTATCTATGGAACTGATGTCCAACCGCCGACAGGGAAACAAGTACCATCTTTTGACATCGTTTTCTATGACGCGGCCAGGGAATCGAACACCTGACCTTCCGATCTCCGAGCAGACCATCTATCCAATAGACTTGGGACGTTGTCACAAGAGTATAAACTGCGGATGTTAACTGATTTTGTTACGACAGTTTGGCATATACGCTGTTTGGTCACCAGATGTATTTTTGAGAATTTGAGTTGTTTTTCTTTCTTAGAACATTTAAATTTCACCTGTCAATGGTTTATTTGAAAAGAGAATATGACTTTCAGATACAAAAGTAGGTTATGTTTCATTCAGATAATGCGACAGCGTCTTTTTTACATATGTAGAAGATTCATATCATATGTAACTTAACCTGCTCTTTGTGCACTCAATATGCCAACCAAATTGCTGTTTCTCCTTGCCGATTCGCTGGTATTCGTTTTGACATTTTCTAATGCTAGAAAGAATGCTTTGAAGCAAATATTACACTTTGTAGCATGGAAGAATACACACGAAATGCCTCCGTTTACACACTGCCTTAGTATATAAAACATTCCAAAACCTAATCCATAATAACAAATCATGTCTGCTAAAAGAAGAATCCACTGTACGGCGTCAAAAAACATTTCAGTAAAAGGTCTCGTTTATCTGCCAAAAAGGCAAAATAGTGTTTGACGGATCACCGAATCTAAGTATGACACCAGGTGCTCTCGAAAAGGGTAAGTATGACCTGAAATACCGCCACTGACACGTTTGTTTGAAGGTTAACTTAGATGTTTGTTTCATAACGCCCTACAACAGTGCTCCTGCTGTGCGTATTTCATTCTTATAGCTCGACGCCATTTAAAGGCCGATGGGTAGCCTAGTAGTCAAAGCGTTGGCTCGGCACGTCGAAGACCCGGGTTCGATTCCCCACATGGGCACAAAGTGTGAAGCCCGTTTCTGGTGTCCCCGGCCGTGATATTGCTAGAATATTGCTAAAAGCGGGGTAAAAGCATACTCAATCACTGACTCACTCACTCGACGACATCCATACATTAACGTGATCTTGTGCAATATCGTTAGCACTGAGAAAAAAAAAGATTAAAATTGTTTTCATGTGACAGAAACATTCTTTTGCGGATCAATAGAAATAAGTCTCGTTTTACGACCTGAAATGCCTCATGTAAATCACACCATTGAGCACGACTTCAAAAGGTAATTGATCAAACGTTCTTAACAATAATGTAGGTTTGGACAAGAGCATTGAGTGCAGACTTAACAGTCATAGTCAAATTTCAGATGGCCACTGATGCAATAATATATATCTTAAATAGCCCCCAGAGCCATACATTTACATTGAAGACATATTTGTACAATCTGAAAGGTTTTAGTCGTTCTGAATCGCAACAAAGGTAGTTAATGTGAGTTGTCCTTATGTTCACAAGGTATTCCTGCCGAATATAACAAGAAAGATGCAATGACTAAATACACCCAGGTACACCTACATGTTACTAATATATCCTCGGATTTGCGTTCAAATGTGGATTAACCCGTGAGGATCCGGTTAGAATTGATCTTCAGTAACCCATAGTTGTCGCAACTGAAGACTAACGGGATCGGGTGGTCAGGTTCGCTGACTTGGTTGACATATGTGATCGTATCCCAACTGAGTAGATCGATGCTCATGCTGTTGATCACTAGATTGTCTGGTCCAGACTCGATTATTTACAAACCGCTGCCATATAGCTGGAATATTGCTGAGTGCGGTGTAAAACTAAACGCACTCACTCACTCAAATGTGGATTAAATAATAGCTGTTAACTGTCTAATGGACCAACAGTTTACTTGTCTTCAAGACCTCGTGAAACCTTTCAACCTCAGCCAGGAGCATCACAGCAGGACCCTACTCACTAATAGGTCGTTAACGTTAAAACGACACACACAGATCTTTGTCAAAAGCTCAATTGCGTTCTTTCTGATTGGGTTGAATATCGATTGATATTCTGGTATGTCTCCATGCATTTAAGTGACACTAGGGATGAGAAGCAGTACGTGATAGTCATGCTGGCCCCATCGCTGGTGTTATTGGCGTACGACCATTTATAATTCCCACCTCGCTGAGACCTTCGCCACGTTGCCATACAGGATCACGTAAACCATTTCACATAAATTTCATTACGGGTGAAATGGAAGGTGCGACGAAAGAGTATTTGATACTAATAGCGTGGTATCACATGCATGTTTTATACAGCAACCAATCCAAAACACGTACTGTAATTTTCGTATTAGCTTCGTTGCAGAGGGCAACATTAACCCGTCGACAGCGTAGTACAAGGGTTGAAACTTTATCTCCTGTGGAGGATAATGGCCCATCTGATTATTCACTTCATTCTCAACTACGTGCAGATCGGGCTTAGGACAATTCCGAAAAAATCGATCTTTTATGTGTGAAATAAATATTGAAATTGATTGAGAGCTACTTAACTTAAATGTCGTTGTAATTGAAAGTCAGATCTTCGCGAAACATATTCGTATTTAAGATTTCCCTGATGTCAGATGCTATTAATTCTGCGGTTATTAAAGATGATACATTTTACACGATAACAGAAATTATAACTGCCGTCATGTCCATTTTCATAACCACACATCTTCCTGTCATTTACCAAATAATTAATAGGGCGTATTAGCCATTTCGTGTGCGTGGGGGTCTAGAGTTTAAGTGGGGCGTATGAGTCGTTTGTGAGCCGGGCTTGTTGGTTTCGTTTGGGAAATGGGCGTGTGATTCACCTATTTTAGCTTGGCGTGTGAATCATGTGTGTGTGAGCTAGGCTGCTTCTGATGGGAATTCAATTTCAATAGTATGACTTACCGTTAAGAAGGAACTATCATTGCAGTAGAATGGCATAACGTCAAGAAGGAATCGTAATTGCAGTAGTATGGCCTAACGTCAAGAAGGAACTACAATTGCAGTAGTATGGCCTAACGCCAAGAAGGAAATGCAATTGCAGTAGTATGGCCTAACGTCAAGAAGGAACTACAATTGCAGTAGTATGACTGAACGTCAAGAAGGAAGGAAACATAATTGCAGCAGTATTTCGTAACGTCAAGAAGAAAGTATGTAGGATGACCTAACGTCAAGAAGGATCTAAAGTTGCAGTATAACGACGCTAATTTGGACCGATACCATTGAACGCCGAAGACCCGGGTTCGATTTCCCAAATGGGCACAATGTGTGAAGCCTTTGTCTGGTTTCCCTCGCCATAATATTGCTGGAATATTGCTTAAAGCGGCGTACAACTA